GGGGGGGGTAAATAAAAGATGGGGTAAGCTAAACATTAACGTATTGAAGAAATGGCTCCAAGCCCTGAATGGCATGTATTTGCTTTTTATATCAGTAGAAAGGCAGCAAAAGAGCTTGGGCTATTTCTTTTATCTCACTAAATTACTTGCCTAGTGAAGCAAACAGCCACTGAAGTTGTTGGCTGGCAATACAACACAGTGCATACACAGCGGTGGCATACAACACAGCATACAGCGGATAGCAGACACTTGAGGCACTAACAGCCACCTGAAGCGTGTGTAGAGGGATTTTTTTTTTTTGGCAGGGAACCAAAAATGCCCTCAGTAACCAAGCATTGTTCAGCTTAAATTGAGTATTTTGAGTGGTTGATAGTCAAGTTTCCTGACTGAATTCTGGCTTCTAACAATGTTGTTCGGCTAAAATTTAATGTGTCGAACAACTTTATTTGCTCAGAGATGCTTAAACCATAAAAATTGTGCTGTACACTATATCAAAGCAGTCCAAGCACATGTCGCACCACTCTCAAAGGTTATATCTAAAATGAAGAAAACCAAAACTTTGCCAGCTTTTGACATAATGCATATATTTTCTTTGTATTATAATGTAAGCACACAGAAGATAAATAAAATTTTTATTTATAGCTATATGCCTTGGGAAAGTCCTCTCTTTAAAAAAAGTAATGTTAGCATTGCAAATTGTCAGCCCATTCAAGTAAAAGAATGCATTAGGCCATCATAATTCAAAGAACAGAGGCCGTCTTTAAACAAAAGTCTTGGAGTAGATAGTGCAACTAGACAAGTGCACAATTTTCTCACAGATCATTCATTACACACTGATGGAAGGCCATACGAAAGCTATGAAAGGCATCTCAATACTGTGATGTTTTTTCTATTGGCCCCATTACAAATGAATGACATGGAAAAAAAAAACAGTAGAATGGGCAAACAGAAAGAGAGCAACATGTGATAAAAATAGAAGGATCTTTTTGAGTAATTTGCTGCAACGATTTCTGCTGTCCAACAATACAGTAAAAAGAATGCTACTAGGCCTTTTTTCTATTAGTACTGCCAACCTTGCCTAAGCACAGCAAAATGCAACTGCTTACATGTAGGTCAGCCAAATTCTTTCAGTTTTAATAAAGAGCATTGATAAAAACTTTGAAGGTATCTTATACATTCTCTTAAAGGAGCGCTAGCATCAAATTTCAGAATTGGTAGTTTGAAATACGAGCCTAATATATAGACGCGGACAGGATAGACAGGTACAAGCGCTTGTCCCTGTCTATCCTGTTCGCATCTGCTCTTATTTCAAACAATCATCAATCACCAACTCACCCAATCAACCATTCAGCATCGAGATGTGTGCTTGATTCGATTGCTCATTATGCATAGGTCCTTTTGGCCAATTGGAATCACGTCCATAGCATGGAAGCTATCTTACTTCGATAGTAAAGAGCGTATGAAAGCTCAATGAAAAATGGAATGCCCCGCAACATCGACACTCATTGAAATGTTTGGTGTGATAAATTTCACACATACCATTTGGATTGACGATACGCTAGTAGCGATGACGTCTACCATTCGAGTGTTCTTATCATGGCGACCGACTGGAGCTGGAGCCTAGAAATGCACTCACTCTACCTTCATGTCTCATCTTCCTTGCACCGCTTTGAATGATTTCATGATATTACAAAACACAAACCAGCTACAAAATAATAGCAAAAGAAAAGAGCAAGTTCAAAGTGTGTTCATCAGTCAGCACGTCAGGGAAATCGTTGTGATTTAAAGTTGTCTGGTTGGAAGTGTGGTAAAAGCACAATAAGGGTGTCTTCTCATACACTGAATGCTGCACGCCAACACGACCACAACCCATCAAAGTGGAGTAGCATATAGACAGATATCCTTGCTAACAAGTAACATGCAAGTATTGTTACACGCAAGTATTGTTAACAATGAATTTTAGTTCACCCATCGACATCTTTGCGTCCACATAATACCTGGTTACTGCCGCCGCAGTCGTGAGAGGCCGGATAGCTTGGGCCATTTATACTCGGTCTCATACATCAGGTGCAACGCTGTGGAAGCTTGGGAAAAGTAGGGTTAGCAACTTGTGCTACTACGCGCGTCTCGCACTTGGCTTTCATCATTGTAAACACTAGTGCAAGCCGCCCAGGGACGGGCGCACATGGCGCCGCAGCAGGCTACAAAATAAAACACTAAGAAGGGAAAAGAAAGAGACGCTGAGAGAACCAGATCAAGTTATCGACAGTCGTATAACGGGGCTTGTTTATCTCCGAGAATCAAAGTACCTACACATCTTCTTTTAATGCTCAGCCCAAAGGTGAAAGGAAATCATAACCCGGGTAGTAAGAACACTGTACCATTTCTTCATGCGAACGGATCTCCTGCAGGAGTATGGCTAGCCACCACGGCGTTGCACCTGATGTATGAAACAGAGTATATAGGTGCACAGAAGAAACATTCAAACAGAGAACGTATTCTATTTCTCCATTGGTGCGCATTCCCTATACCGATATTCTACTGACCCCTTTACCTGAATGCTGTGCACCTGAATGCAGTGCACGCCAAACCTCTCCAATATAGCTAATTAAGACACACGAGTGAGCACAGTCGAAGAATGCGTCATCGGGCACCCCCTCATTGCTGCTTAGAACGGTGTCCATTTTGGAGTCGCCATCCTGCAAATGGTTCATTAAAGCAAAAATAATTCGTGACGTCATGAATCGCAACAATTCCAAGCTCCATACTGTCATATTCAACCCTAGTCAACGCTTTGTACAGCGGCGACGGCAATGCAGGTGACAAGCCATGACTGAATGTGTGCGCCCAGCAGACAAAATGCTTACGGTGCAGCTGAGCCCACGTCGCTATTTTCTGTGGAGAAGTGGTCAGCTGTGGCACAATCTGGAGGTGACTGCGACGAGAACGCGCTCACAGCGCTAAAATTGGCAGGCTTGCCAGCCATTCTGAATCGTGCTTGATGCCAATGATATAAATCAATAAAAGTAATGAGTACTTGTCTCTTCAATAGCATTTTAGGATGGCGAGTCGCTACTATGGGGTCGATAGCTACTTGTGGACACAAAATTCTTGACAAAACGTGAATTTAGTGCCAGTGCTTCCTTTAACACAGCTCGAAGGCAAAATCACAACATGATCATCATCATCATCATCAGAGGATCTTGCACTGCATATCACATTTTCAAGGCACTTTAGGCTTTTGCCTTAAAGGTTAAAGGGGCCCTGCAACACTTTTTGAGCATGGTCAGAAAACGCCGCAGATCGGTAGTAGAGGCTCCCGACAACACATTAGCACGCAGCGCAGTACGCGACCTGGAATTCACAATAAGTTATCGAAGTCAGCTAAAAATTGCTTCCTCTCCTCTTTACAAATGATTGAAGACACTTAAGAATCACTCATAGAAAGCCTATCCGTAAGCCATTGGCTGATTTGAACATGGCTGCGCTCGATCGTTACAGAGATCGCCGCGGGAGACCGCAACTTGTCCACGCGCGCAAGCGATCACACTGAAAAAGCCGAGAATTCGAAGGGGAAAAAAAGTGCTCAAGGTCACAAGGCGCGTGTGACATAATTGTTTTGTCCCTGCCATCCCTCCCTGCTCAGGTTCCAGCCCTTTCTTTGAGACGACAGAAGAGAGAATCCAATTGCAGCATGCAACAAATCTTTGTAACTCCACTCACACTTGATGGATTCTCACAATTTTTGCGGCATTGGATCCTAAGGCAATAAGCTCTTCCAGTGAATTCATTCCATGGTTACTTGAAGAAGTGTTCCAGGGCCCCTTTAATATTCAAAATAAAATATCTTTATAGAAATTAAATAGTTGGTCCCCTTGATGGTGCTCAAACCTAGGCCACTTTTGGACTGGCGGACTAAAGACCTGTGTAACTAAGCAGCTACAACTTCGAGAGTAGAAGTTTCAAACACACAGCCAAAGCTTAAAAATGATTTGTTCGCTAAAAGACCTTTGTGGGAATGCATTAACAATATAAATATATATTATATTTTATATATATAAAATATAATTTCACTCCCGTTACCGAAATGTAAACTGTGACTCATTTCGACTTACAATGAGCAACTGCCAACTTGAGCATGTAAATGAATTTAAATATCTCGGTGTAGTGTTCGACAGCCAATTACACTGGAAAAAACAAATTAACTCTGTTTGTATTAAGCTAGCATCTGGCTGCAGTATGCTACTGGCTACTAGAAATTATTTTAGCAGAAATATTCTCAGAGTCCTTTATTTTTCGTTTGTTCATAGTGATCTATCATACTGCTTAGACTCATGGGAATGGACCTTTAAAACTTACCTTGATCCTATCCGGATATTACAAAAGCGTGCACTTAGAATTATAGATTATGCGGCATATAATGAACCCAGTGAGTCTTTGTTTCACAAATTGGATATTCTACCTTTTGATTACATACGGCAGCATAAAACCGCAGTCACCATCAACAATGTTATTGCACACAGTGTACCTTTCGATGTATCTATCTTTTCTTCCTCGTCCCGCGTCACTAGATGCATGACATTGCAGAATTTTAATCTTCCACCCACTACAAACGTGTATGGTGAACGCTTACTACAGTTCGTAGGAGCTAAAGTGTGGAATAACATACCACTTCAGATTAAAGATTCTAGGTTTTTCTCGAGCGCACTCAAAAAATATTTCCTACATGTAGATCAATAGTAATGACCATGTACTAAGCCTTACACATAGTTTGATGTTTTGTCTATACTTGATTATTTCATTATTTATGAACAAAGTGCAACAATGTGTATCTTCTTGTATTTTTGTTTGTTTGTTGAAAAATCAACGTTTTTTGATGTTTTGATTTTTTTATTATACACAAATTGTATTCTGCTTGTATACTTTCTCTCGTTAGACCCCTTACTAGCCTATGGCTATGGGTCTAATCAGTGTTGTGCATTTCTTGAAATGTAGTCATAACAACCTCAATAAAATGCAAAATGTAAATGTAAAAAAAAAGAGGCTCTCAATGAGCGCATTGGGTATCCTGGGGTATAGCTTGCTTACATGTAGTATGAAGTCAACAAATAATGAAGCTAAGGAAAGCATAGAAGGTCATATTCATGATTCTCAATTAAACTACAACTTCATACAACTAAAAGCTATAAATACCACCCCCTGTGCTTTACTTGGGCTCACATGGTAGCGTACAGCAAGACAATAGGATCCTAATGCATGCCCCCTCTACCATGTTCGCTGAGTAGACCCATGAACACAGAGTGCTCTAGGGAAAAGAAAGCAGCTGGGGGCAGTTGTATGTACAGCTACCCCCCCCCCCCCATTCCTGATTATTATACACTCGAACCTCAATACAACGAAGTCACGCTTGCCACGAAAATACTTTGTTATATCTGAAAATTCGTTATAAATACACACTTGCAGTACTGTATTTATGAAAAAGCTATTCTTCATTTACTTTGTTATAACTGATTATATTAAATATCTGGGTTTTTATACCAAGGTTTGAGTGTAAATATGTTTAACTAATTTATAATGATAGTAGTTTTAAAATACACCGAAAATGACCATGAGCACCAAATACACAGGCAAATCTGAAAAAACTGTGCAGCAGAACAGGACACGTTAGTCCCTTCTTCCTTCATGTGTATTCTTGTAGAAGATGGTCCTATACCAATTCAGCCATTTTTAATTGCCAAACTACACAGCAAAACATTTGTATCTCTCCTTTGCGAGAGAAAACTCTAGCATAGTGTGCCTGATGCTACACTACTCCAGTAATACCAATAATTAAATCTAGATCCTTGATGTCTTAGCGGAAAGAAAAAAAGAATGCTTGAAGGGCTGAAAGAAAAAAGAAAGAAAGAAACAATGCCTGTTGCTGCACCCATCTGTGTACCATGTGTTCATAGAATAAGCCCTTCCAGTTCTATTTCCACCTCCAATGTTATCAGACCCATCCATCTCTCTAATTATGAATTTCGATCCATGACTGAGCAAAGACTCACGTTGCAAAATTCGCAGAGTCATCCTTCACCATAGCGGGACCACTTGCTTAAAATTTTATGGTAGTGTTACTGGGAAATGACGTACACCAACCTAGTGCACTATGATGACGGGAGATGAACTGGAGTAGTTGGGATGCAGGAGCATAGGGCATGCTTTTTTTCTAGAATGCATGGCTGCGCCCCATTTTGCGATTAATCTGTGAAGAGCACAAAGGCTTATGAAAACCACGACAGCGGCAGGTTTTAGCTTTTGAAAAAACCGCAGTCACTTGTTGCATGCAAGAGAAGCATGTGGGTTGGCAGTTATAGTCAGTCAGGCGTAATGGACAAAGCTGGTTTGGTGACATCAAGCATGAAGTGATGGCTGCTTTTCAAACAAAATGAGGCCCAACAATATCTGCAATTGAAAGCAGGGAGGGAGGGGTTGCATGGCCATTATGAGGAGAAAATTCCTGTTTTGAGCCCCCCTGTTTTCTCCTTGCAACACCAATCACAATTATTGCTTATATACTAGAGAAATATTATGGAACTTGAATACTGTCATAGGTGTGTGGTTCGAATGTGTACATTAGACCACTGAAAAACCAGAATCCCAAATAAATTCCTCATGGTCATTAATGTGATACAAGAAAGACCATCAGCAAATGTACGACACAGTCTACAAGATTATGAGGGTAGTCCACAGGGATAGCCAGGCAGTTCAGAGGACTGCAAGAAAAATGTGGAGTTGACGGGAAAGTTGGTCAAACACGATACTGCTGAAATCAATGCTCTAAAAACTAAAAAGATATATATAACATTAAATTCTAAAGATTTTGCAAGCCAAACCCATGGTATGATTAGATGCACACGGTAGCAAGAGACTGAAGGGTCATTTTAAACATATCTGAGTTTCTTAAATGTGTGCCTATGTCTAAGCATAGATGGGTGCTCTTGCATTTTGGCCCCAACAAAATATGGCTGCTGTGGCTGGGAATTGAAACTGCACCTCGTGCTTAGCAGTACCATAGCGGTCTTCAAATAGAAGACTTGTAGCAGGCAAGTTCCCCATGAGAATAAATAAATAAAAAAAACTGATTAAGGTGAGCCAGTCTTCTCCCCAGAAAGTGGGCTCCAGCTACATTCTTGTTAGACTACTACTGATCATTGCATGCCGAAATACGTATACCACAAAGTAGATTCACTGCCAAAACAGAAAGTGATGCCCTTTGCTCAACAAAACCTAGCCTCAGACTTGTTCATGCCTGATGGACACCCACAATTATGAAAGCTCTGAACAGTTCACTGTTTCCCCCACTTTAGGCCCAGCCTTGACTTCTCTACAAAGTGTGCTTTCTTAACACTCTTTGGCAAATTCTGCAGAGAGGAATTCCTTGATTAGCACCTCTGTGTTTCTCTGAGCATAGACATCCATACCTAGCATTGTTGTCATTCAGTAAAGGCAGAAGCTGCAGGTGTAGTAAACATTTTGCTGTTGTTTTGGACCATTTCGTAAGAAAAAAAAACCTTCGATCTGTGCCACTGTTCCCTGCACTTAGGATTTAGTGAGTGATAGCCTGATTGTGATGACTGGAGGTTGTGAAATGCTGCACAATAGAAAGCATAATTCATAGTGATTTGCTTGCTCCTGCCTGCACCGTTTAATATGTCAGTGAATGAAAAATCAAGAGCACAGTATTTGTCTCTTCTTGTCACTCAAAACAAAGTCATTCTATAGCTGGCCACGAAAGTCTCGTGCACATCACAATTGAGCATAATATAGAACTGCCTAGGCATTAAACTGCTGCAAGTGCCTGCAATAGAAAATATGACCCACCAGCCACAGAGAGGCATCCGTGATATGCTATCTAATGTCAAGGTAGTACACAGAAGGGAGGGCCATTACAACCTTGCTTGAGCACAGGGAGAGAGATTCATTTTCTGAATGCTCTCAACATTGACATGCCATCGCAAACTTATCTGCAGCAAGACAGGACAGGTCGCATACACGTGCACGAGGACACCCGATGAGCACTACACTCTTGACAACAATTACAATCATGACTGACAGATCGTCATGAGGTGCTTAAACACAAATCAGTGCAAGTGCCACACAACGAGCCCCCATGCATAGAATGTATGCAAAGACAGCAAGTATGTTGCAGTCATGATCATTAGATGGAGGTTTTTAAAATTATTGAATTGGTGTTGAAACCACTACATCCCTTTTCTTTTTCCTCTCACTGAGTTAGTTCACAGGTGTTGGCAGGAAGCATTGCAACCCATTGTCAATATCGTTCTAGTTGCTAGTTGTAGCAACTGAACTTCGGCTGTGACAATGATGATGACTATAACTGAGCCCACAAGTAACGCATAAATAGAAACTGCGTTGTAACTTTGAGTGTGTGAGCGTCAAAGTCTCGTTCTGGAAAGTGAAAGCATTGTTCCCTCCCAGCAATCACATGAGAACGACATTGCACAAAATACTGTAAGAGGCAGAGTGTGCGTTTGTGGGGAGACGTCATGGTGTGACGCTGGGCGTTCTTCGCAGGAAAGGTCACGTTGGTCAGCTGTTTTCTGGAGCGCCAACGTCCAGGCTCTTGACTGAACGTAAGCTCTCGGAGTCGGCTGAAAAAAAAAAATGGTACAATTAAGTAGGAGAGTCTACGGAAAGTGAAGCAAGAAATCACGCTGTGAGAATGGAAATCCTCTTACATTTCAAGTCAAGTCATAACTATCATTGATGAACCACCATTTTCAACACTCACAGAGAAACTAGATTATCAAAACATGATATGCCTTAATGACCTCACACTACAGTAACGCTAGTTCCATCATCTCAAATAAAAATGAATGACTTGTTTTCTTTCATTTAATGTCATGGAGAATGCATCTTGGCAATTCCATGAGATTGACACAGGTCCTGAAAATTGGCATTTAGATTTGATTGGGTATTTTATATATTGTAGCACATACAACCAAGTAGCCTGAGAGTCGACCTTCTTGCTTTATTGGCTGCATAATTTAGGGTAAAGGAAATATCGAACTTATCCTATAAGGAGGGACCAATTTCATCTCTTGTCGTTCTCGAATGTTCACGATTTATTAGTAACACAAACATTAACATTTAAAAAAATAGTTTTTTTTTTTCTAAAGAATGTATGCATAGTGAAGAGTGGAGTAGCACTGTTTTAATCCTCTCGACTGAAGAAAACTGTTTTTGAAAAATGTCTTGACAGGTGACATTTTTCAAAAGTTGCTATATTTGAGAATTTTTTCCTCCTGAGCTAAAAGAACCAGTGAATCATAACTTGGGGACCTTATGACCATGTAATGTGTGAAATATTACCTGTTATTATTGTTGTTGTACCTCTAATACATAATTCTATAAATGGACTCAAACTTTCCATTCCAGTGACAGTTAAGCCTATAAAAGAATCAGTATTAAAAAAAAAAAACTCTTCACTTTTTCTTGAAATGACGAAAAGAGACCGTCACATACAAAAAAAATTAAAAAAAATACGAAGGAATCTGTTGCATTATTTTGTTTGCAGTGATAACACTGAAGTTACAAGTTATGCTTTTTGAAGATGCACAGAGATGATAAGAACATGAGAAATTAGGATAAAAAAAAGTGAGCCAACCACCATTATAGTTCATTTGGTAAGAGCATCAGGTACGTAATCCAAAGGTTACAGGTTCAGTCTCTGCTGGCAGGAAGTAGTTTTTTTTTTGTCCACTTTACTTTCTTTGTATCTATATCACAATTACTATAATAGACATGACACAGTACAACTTACGTCCTCTATTCCTTATCAGCTCACTTCACTGTGTCAAACAAAAATGTAGCCCTGAAAATTATTTTCCTTCATTCCCCACTTTGAAGTGAATCACTAATTTTCCTACAGAATCCTTGTAAACTCGAGTGAAGCTCATAAACGTGGCAGCAATCTCGCATAGGTTCTAAATATATACACATGCATATATATTTTCCATCTTTCTTCGTGATCTGCTCTAACACAACCTCAAACATGCCACCTTCAAGTTACAGGCTGCTGTAGTTGCAATGACTCCATCCCCATCTTATAGTCTCCATTCCCTTCCAAAATTTATAGAGGAAATTTCGCAAGCATCATGGATTCAACGAAACCATCACACAGGCCAAATCGACACTTCCTTTGTCAGTGAACAGCAGGACTTACACACCAGTGACACACGAGAATGGTAGACCCACGGTGGTTGTGCGTGCAGTACCAATAATTCGTGCTTGTGAGCTCAGTTTATAAAACATGAGTGCGATTAAGCTTGCACGTCATGTCAAGCCAAGAGCCACTTGCCAGCCATCAACTAGGCAGCCACTTGGCTCCTAGTTGATTATCGCTAGTGGAAGATTACAGTATTGCCCAATTAAATGGCATTTTAAACAATTTTGCTACAGAAACACACGATGTATGGTCATACATTAATAGTGGCCCAGGCGTATTGGTGCCAGTTCAGAGCAGTCTCAATAAAGGCTGCTATGCTGCCAGACTACACTGGTACAGCAATAAAAGCATGCAACAAGCAGTTAGGCAGCACTGCATATAAAGGTACACAAGTATTTAGGCCTAGGACTGTGTTTGAAACACTGAAGACTACCTTACAGTGCGACTGGCACATGGCATTCGTTCGAGAAAAAGAAAGTGTGACCTCACTACTTTATGGCATTGTGAGTCCAGTGGCTCAAAAAAAATTCCCATTCATTTAATATTCTCATCAAAAGTGATGACCTTCTAAAAGATTAAAGATAACACATTGATTCTAATTCGGCACATGTTGGTCCAACACTAGCCGAGTCAGCAAATATTAGTTCATGTATTTGAATGAGTAAATTCGAGTTGCTTCCAAGCTAAAGCGTCCATATATGCTTCCTAAAACTATTTTTCTATTTAAAGTTTCTATTTGAAAAAACTGATTTTCCCGTATTGCATACAGTGCAGACCACTTATAACGTAGCCGCTTTTTGCGCAGGACCGGTTATAATGTGGGTTTTTTTGACCACCGATATGTCGCCCATAGAATTCAATGTATAGGCCGACCGTTTATTGCGTAGGCGCGCGAAGGAGAATACCGGTTATAGCGCGGAAATTTTAGGCGCACGACCATAAAATCAGCAAACGGAGCACGGTCCGCATGGTTTCCCGGCGGCGTTCCCGGCGCGCCGGAACGTTGGGAGTTTGAGCGGGAGGGCGCACGTGGAGACCACCGCGAAAAGTCAAACATTGCGGAGGAGAAGAGACAGTACAGTAGGGAGGGAGTCGGGGAGACCTTGGAAGGAGGGAGCATGTTTTCGTCACCGTGACGACCGTGGCAGCGTCCAATCCGGGTGCGCGCTGCGCGGAGTGGGGGAGAGAAGCGGTAGCATGCTTTTTTTTTTCTCAACCTCCTTCTTTTGCCTCTTTGAATTTGCTGTGTGCACTTCGCCGTGTCGTTGCCGTCTGAGAGCCCAGAGCACGTGTGTTGCGTAGGTCCTGTCGCCATGGCGTCGGCGGCGTCTTCAAGCGGTGTGAAAAAGCGCCGTGCCTTATCGCTGGAGATTAAGGAATGCTTCATAAGGGACATTGAGAGTGGCCTGAAGAAGGCGTCGGTGGCGGCGAAATACGGCGTTTCCAACACGACCGTGTTGACCATCTACAAAAACAAGGACAAACTGCGGCAGCAACTGCAGCAAGATTCGTCTTCCCTGTCACGGAAGAGAATACGTACGTCAAAATACGAAGACGTGGACTCAGCGCTGTTCAGGTGGTTCCGCGAAGTTAGTTAGGGCTCAGAGCATCCCAGTACGTGGCCCCATGCTCCAACAAAAGGCCAAGTGTCTCGGAGCTCTTTTAGGCCACGACGACTTCAATCCACTCAACGGGTAGATTCAGCGTTTCAAAGATCGCCATGGCATCAGCTGCAAAGTGGTGTGCGGAGAAAGCGGCGCTGTGGACCACGAGTCTATCGATGTCTGGCTTCGCTTGAACTCGGAGAGTATGCTGTCCACCTATACTGACAGAGACATTTATAATGCCGATGAAATGGTTTATTTTATAACCTTTCGCCCAACCGCACGCTTGCACTGAAAGGCGAAGCCTGCTCCGGCCGCAAGGTCTCAAAGGAGCGCATAACTGTATTGTTTTGCGCCAATTTGGACGGGAGCGACAAGCTCTGCCTCTTTGTCATAGGTAAATCGGCAAGGCCACGTTGCTTTAAAAAGCGAGAGTGCCTGCCAGTGACCTACAAAGCCAATAAAAAGGCGTGGATGACGCAGGATTTGTTCACCAGCTGGCTTTGCAAGTTTCATGAGGTTATGGTGCCAGAGAAGCGACGGGTCGTGCTTATTTATCTTCGACGACTGCACGGGCCACAACGTCAAGCCGAAGTTGATCGCAGTCAACCTAAAGCTTTTGCCTGCCAACACTACAGCAAAAAGTCAACCTCTCGACCAGGGTGTCATCGCAACCGTAAAGGCGCTGTACAAAAAGCGCATTTGCGAGAGAGTTTTGCTGAACATGCAGCAGCAGCAGCCTCTTAAAGTGAACTTAAGAGGCACGATTGACATGGTGGTCACTTCATGATGGCAGGTACAAGCCAATACCACAAGCAATCATTCATCCCGAATCATTCATCCCGAAAACTGCAAATGAGTGGAACCACCTTCCCGCCCCTATCGCTGCTATCACTGACCTCACTTTGTTTAACAACGCCCTCTCTAACCATTTCGCGTAAATTCGCCACTTAAGTCACGCTGTGTTTTCTCTTGTTAGTTTTTTTTTGTGTGTGCGCGTGTCATTCAAAGACGCAACCATGTTGAACATTGTTGTTACAACCACCCTGCCTCTTCTTCACATCACGCAGTCTTTCTTTTCTTTTATGGTTTTCAGACCGCCATTGTGCGCATATAATCTTGATTTGCTGTATTTCCTGAATTTCTGTACGATGTATACCCGCTCCTCCCTGTAATGCTTCGGCTTTGAGAGTAAATAAATGAAATGAAATGAAATGAAGTGTTTCAAGAGGGCAGGCTTCGTGCGCAATGCAGAGGCTCTGGAAGACGATGAGCAGAGCGACACGTCGCTCGCCGATGAGACCCTCAACACTGACGACGTGTGGTCCTGCCTCGTCGACGGCAACTTTGTAACCGCCACCGACACTTTCCAAGAATTTGTCGATGCCGGGGAGTCTGAGCTTGATGTCTGCGAGGAAGCGAGCACAGATGACGCGATCGTCGCAGCGGTGCGTGGTAGTGCGGAGGTTGCAACGGACGACGAGTCGGGCGGCGAAGACGATGTCGACCCGACGCCAGAACCAGATTTCCCGTGCAAAGACGCATTGGAATACCTCGCTAAAGTGAAAACGTACTGCGCGAAAAACAGTTTGAGCGAGAAATCGCTCCAGTGCTTAAGCTTTGTGGAGCACGAAATTGTTCGCAGCGCTGTTCGCAAGCATCGCCAGACGAAAATAACGGCGTTCTTCCGCTGATGCCGGACTTGAGAACTTTGTTTCCGTGCGGTGTTGTGATTGTGTTGAATGTGTCTGCGAGTGAAAAGTGTAGTAAATTGCTTTTGAAAGGTGGGTTGCCCTTTTGACATAGACAAAGGCCGAAA